TCAGACACACTTTTGCACCACGCAGCCAGAGCAGCAAAGCTGCTTCAGCTGTGTGTTAGAACTAAACTGGTACAAGCAGCAAAAATTAAGCAGCAGACGCGATTTTGCTGCGCCTGCTGTGTCCGGTGTGAACAGCATACAGCCAACACGTTGTTCTAGGATCTGGCATATATATACCAGTCCAGCCTGTAAAAAGCTGTATCACTCATATTGTCATAGTGAGCCAAATGATTTTCTCACAATTTGTGCTTTGATTTTTATTTTCTTATATAGATGTTAGTTTTTTTATTTTTATTTAGCTTAATATAACATTTATATGATAAACAAGTGAATGCCAGTGGTGTATGAGGACAATATACATGAGAAAACAAATACAGAATAGTAAAAGCTTGGCGGGTCAAAAAGTATGGAGGACCTTTATTTAAAAATAAATACAGAAAAAAAAAATGCTCAATAAATAAATAAGCTTACAATTAATTGCCCCCAAAAATACAATAAACAAATAAATGTAGGTAGAAATTAAATTATACAGTGAGACAAAAATGTATATAGCTCTTGTAATTAGCTACTTTATTTATTCGCCCTTGTAATAATTACCTCATGTAGGTATTGTCAATTTTAATCTTCTACTTTATTTATCTGTTACTTATATTTTAAGTATTGCATGTGATATTTTTGTCTGTTTTATTCTTCCCTTGTATTTTTTTTACCCTGTTTATTTCTTCCATGCTAATTATTTCTGCCTGTCGTTTTTAAATTTCTGTCTGCATTTCTGCATCATTATGCAAATGAGGAAGGGGTGTGTCTTAGAGGGTCAACTTCTGCCCATTGGTTGGCGGCCCATCTTCTTCACTCACAGAGCTCAGAGCCAATAAATTGAAAACTGTTTAATGTTTAAAACATTAATATTTCTGTTACTATATCTCTTGGAAATTTCTAAGACTAGCCTTTGCTTTCACTTTATTTCATAAAGACAGTTCATATTATCCTGGATCAGTTAATTAGAGCCCACAGAGTCAACGGATGATATAAGTTAAGTAGATGTTTTGGTTAAGTGAGTTTTATTTAATAAGGACTCAACCAAATACACATCAAAACACATATATGATGTAATTAGTGAATTGCATATAGTCAAGTTAAAGTTCATTTAAGATTATTTAAGATAATTACTGGTAACCCTACGAAGTAGCTGACTTGCAATGGTTTCTATTACATGGATGCAAACTGCTTTGTTTGAGGTTACTAGAATGAAAGTAGGAAGGGAGGAAATGACAATACTGTCTGATTGAAATATGGATCCAAAATGGCAAAGAAGGCTGATTTAAAACAACCTTTATGAGGCTGCTGCAGTATAAGCTTAGTGACATCCCATTTCTGGACAGAGGTCTGAGAGATTAACGTCACTGTGACCTTTGTTATGCAAGAAAATATTCTTGAGACTGCCTGTTTTGAATAGATGGAATGTATAAAAGATATTTTATGGTGAGATGGTATTTCAGCCTACGTTATATGGCATGGAGATCTAATGGAAAGGAAAAGTGCAGATTTTATTGTAGGTGGTGAATACATTTAATATTTGGTGTCTTGAACATGAGAAGCATTTCATAAAATGAAGTTACTGACACCGAGTAGAACAGTATCAGAGTGGATTTAACTGACCAAAGTTTCAACATCAGTTCAGACTCTGCTCTCTAGGATTCATCTGGGCTGATGACTCTTGGAGGGATTAGTGCCACTCTAAGAATTGCAGACGAGTGTTGGGCCAACAACAGGACAACAAACTCATCACCTCTGCTGCACTGATCCATTGAGTAATTCATTGTGTAATTCTGCTACCTGAGCTGATACCAAACCACGTTGGTCACCTATAGGACCTTCTTTTCTTTTTTAGTCTGAGGAGATGCCTTTACCTAAAGTTTCTAAACATATATGATATGTTAACAGCTTTTACACATGTGCAGAATTCTGTCTATTTTAAGCAATGGGGAATCAGTTTCCCTGCTAAAGTGAGTGGGGCAACAAAATAAAAATAACTACAACTTCATAAGAAGTGTGGTTTTTGGATCATTTGGCTTTCATGCACTGCAGCCTGGCATTATAACATCCTGCTAGAATGATATTTAGTTTAAAGTGCCTTCAAAAGTGTTTGAACCCTTCAAGCTTCTGCATATTTGTTTATCATATAACTTTTTCATGATTTTATGATATATATATTGATACATTGTTAACAAGTACTTTGCAAATAAAAGTCAAATTTTATTTATTTGTGTTTAATCAATAGTTTGCAAGACATTTTTTCTCTTGAAGCACATATCTTTTTTTCTTTACAGAAAAGATCAAGTTGGCTGTAATGTGGGTGTGAACACTGTAAACCAATGGTTCCCTGGAGTAAAAGATATATTGTTAATTAGAGATGTCCCGATCCAGGTTTTTGCACTTCCGATCCGATACCGATATTGTTTTTGGACTTCCGATCCGATACCGATACTGGCCGATACCAGCCTATCCGAGCATGTATTTTTTTTTTAAAACTGGATCGGCATTTTACATGCTTTGCCGATACGCATTTTTTTGCCAAAATCGGCGTCCCGATCAGATAAGTGGATCGGACCGGGACTAGCCTATTGTTAATCCTTTACCTCTTTTTTGTTTTGTATCTCCTATAAACCTAAAAACAAATTTTGAATGACTTCAGTAGACTGACTTTGTGCTGGTTACAACACATATTCTCATTGTGCTTGAAACTGCTCATACAAACTTTCATTCAGTGCCTCTTTAAACCCCCCTATTTCATTTGTTGTCTGAAGGTACATCTTGGTGGTGGAATCTGGGTGGAGGAAGAGAAATGGCACCAGCTTCAGAGGACACAGGGAGACTCCAAGTTCACAAAGAACCTCGCTGTGATGATCTGGGGAACTGAAACCCTTAAAAACCGTAGTGTCACAGGAGTTGCCACCAAAAAGAAGAAAGACGCTCTGCCCAAGCCTCCACTGTCACCCAGCAAACTGAAAATTGTAAGAGGTAAGCTAAATTAAAGTCATGACTTCAAAGCTCCTAAAGAAGATGGTTAGGCTTAAAAACTAGAGGTACATAAATAAAATAGTTTATTTGCAAATACCTATGTAGCAGAAATCAAAATAAGATAAGCAGCTCCTCATCTGATGCTGACTCTCATAACTTGATCCTCCTCAGAGTGTCTCTACGACAGAGTGTCTCAAGAAACAGCCGACAGCGCTGAGATCACGCAAAGATTGTCCAAAGTGAACAAATATATCTGTGAAAAGATTATGGACATCAACAAGTCCATCAAGAATGAGGAGCGGCGGGAGTCAAAGCTGCTAATCAGACAGACGGTCAAGATGGAGAACTTCACCTATGATGGCATATAGTGATCAACTGTCACGTCAGCGCCTTCTGCCCCGCGTGGTCTGCAGCATATTTAGGGGACTTGGTACGGGTGGGTTGGGGAATGGGGTCACTGTTCTAGAAGCGGTCACATTTCTTTCACACAGGTCCCATCCCACCTCCCTTTAGGGCCAGCGTCACATTTATCATTTCTTTCATTGGCTGCCAGACAGCTTTACCCACCAGTACATAAAAAAGTTGGATATGAGCTAGAGTGAGTGTTTTATAAGCTTTACCAATGCATGGGTACAGAAATGTGTGCATATGTGTCAAAAGAGATTAGATATGATGCTGATTTATGTTCTGTGTCAGAACATCCTTTCCAGTCCTGGAACTTTTAAAAAGTAAGAGGTGATTCCTGTAGGTAGGTCTTCTGATGCTGTATAATCGACCATGCTAGCTAATGTTGGGTCTTAGACTGTTGGTGGTTTGACTGTTGGTACTAATTGCGTTGAATGGGACGTCAGGGTCTTGAATGCACAAGTCTTAATTATTAACAGCCATATATGATGGGTTGCTCCAAGAGATTATCTTTGAATGTGTGCTGTCTGTCAACTCCTTAACACATCTGCCCATGAGGGGGCTTAGTGAGGGTTGGAAAGAATGACTCCAAATTATGAGTCAGTTATGCTTTAGTTGATGTGTTTTATGTATTTATTTTTTTAGTGATCTTATCAACCATTAATGTAAGAACCCATAAAAAGATGATACAAATCCCAATTTCCTGAGCACTATAAGTTATAAATGAATAAACATTGAACTGCAGGTTCTTTGATAGACATGATTGTTTTGAATCTGATATAAAATGAAGCAATTATTAGATCTATGTCCCTAGCCTGTATCTAATAAAAGAAAAAAGTCAGATTGATAGATTTAAAGACCAATAGTAGGGGGTCTTAGTCTTGGTGCATTTAATGAGTAGGCAGAAAAATCCGATTTTTTAGTCTTGGACCATGGAAATGCATAAAAAGTAGTCAGTTCTGTTTCACAGCTAATGGAATTGAGCTTCTCTGATCTAATTGAATTAGTCTCAGTCTTAGTCATTTAAATAAACTTAACTATAGAGCTGTTACTGGCATGTTGATGCCTTTAAAAAGGCCTAAAATGGATTTGGCAATCTCCTGGGACATAATGTATCTTACAAGAGTACATTCCTTCCATATTTTTAAAAGCTTTATTATATATCTTTTATGAAAAGATATGTTGAGACATAAAAAAAAGGTTTGTGCTCACTTTTGTCGATTACGGTCTTCGTCCTTTTTTCTTTTTTTTCATTTTAGGAAGCTGTGATTGTAAATGTTTTAAGCTGAAGTGATGAAACTTCATCTGCACTTTGCTGGGTAAATGTAAAATGTGGCCAGGTACTATTTTAATGTTTGTTTAATGGTTTGCCCCATTCGATACATATAAACGGGACTAGCATAGAGGTGAAAATCAGCTCTTTAAGTCCAGCTCATCTTGCTGTTAAAGCATTGTTAGTAGTGGGTAAAGCTGTCTGTCGCAATATTTTTCTTTCCTCTTCTAAAGGTTGTTTGCCCCTGCTGAACCTCATCCAAACCCTCTCTTCTTTTAGTCACACCACTGGGGAAAATAGTAAGGTTGCTCCAGTGACAATTTCCTCCGAGCTATGCCATCAAAAGTTTTAAAATGCTCTTTCATCTTTTAAGGGTTATTTTTTTGTTGTTGTTTTTTTTATATATATATATAGGATTTCTCTCTACTGTTATATTGTTTTGATCTGAAACGGTTTGTGTGGCTGTCTGCAGGCTGGAACTAAACGCTGCAGATTGAAATCTCGACTGTGACCTAGCTGTGGCTAACTGTGAATCTGCTGTAGAGCTGCCCATCAAACCTCTCCTTCTTCTCTCTTGTAATTCCTGGATGTGTCAGTTTATATTTCCCCATTTTCTTTTGTTTGCTTGACTTGGTTTATGTCATACCAGAACTTCATAGCAGCCTTTCGTTAAGCTATGTTTCTTGTTCTGAGATAGCATTGAAAGAAATATGCATATTTGTCCAGAAAGTTGGTGACATAACTGGGTTTGTCAGATCAGTTTCAAGTTATGAATCTGCTAATTTCCTGCAGTGTTTTCCATATTACGGTATGTGAGTTCCTTTTATTTCTTATCCAAGCTCTTTCCTTTTTTTTTTCTTTTTTTTTTGTGTGTTTTTAATAACTTTTATGAACTGTTGGCTTTAAGCTACATACTCATTAGTTGAGTTTACAAACAGTAATTTAATCCACCTCACTCTTAGCCAAAGTTATCCCACAGGAATAAGATGGAGAAAGAGTTTCCTTTACTGTCTTCAGCCTGTATATTGCAATCTCAACACATGATATTTGGTTAACCTTACTTTAAAATCATTCAAAATCTATAATCTTAAACCGTTGGGCTCTTATTTAGATGCAGTAATGATCAATTCATATCTATTACATCAAATGCACTTTAAATTGTTCTGCAATTTCTTCTGTTTTAAACAGTTGTTTGTTGCAATAGTTCTTATTGATTATAGGGCCATGTTGTCATTTTATTTTTTTTCTTCATGAAGCACCTTATGATGTTTTGATTTATATTTTTTTTATTATTAATATTAGAACAACACATAGTTATTTGAATGCCTCTGACAAGCTAGTCCCATAATAAGCTTGGTAAGTTTAATATATAAGACTTATGTCTGCAGATTGTTAAAAAGTAACATAAAGAAACTGGAATTGACCACTTTATTATTGCCTCCCGGACATTCATCTGCCACCTTAGCAAACTGGAAAGCAACAAACAGTTCAGTTTAAAAAAAAAAATGGAATAACCAGTTTAAAGACTTTACCTCTGAAAATGTTTAAGATGACTGGAAATTCCGTTTTAGTTGAAACCTCTAGAATTCAAATGGAGTATTTTTTTAACAAATGAGTTTTAACTGTGAGGATGAAATGATAAAGCTGAAAAAATGTTGGATGCAGACTGAGGAATCCGCTGGGGTTGCACAAAGAAATGGCCAATGCAAAAGTATTGGAGCGTCATGAATAACAAAAGTCACCTAAATGTGATGATAATGTCATTTTTTTTTTCTTTGTAAACCGGTCCCCTTGTTTTTCTTTTTCTTTTTTAATTCTCTGTACAAAGATAAAGCCCACATGTTCGAGCATGTATTGCAATTTGAAAGAAAAAAAAAAAAGCTTTCTGCTGTGCAAAGCCACGTTACTGAAATTCAGATGCATTGTTGTTTATTGTTTATCGGGTTGTTATTCTTTTTTGGTGTTCGATGCCAAAAGGGTGTGGTGGTGGTGATGCTTAAAGAGAGCATTTATACAGCCATTACATCATCGTGTTGAAAGGCTGGTTTCTTAGAGTGAGACTGAGACCTATAATCCCTTAACTAAAACCATCTTCACTAAATGAAAGCTGTGCTGTCGCAGATTTAGCCTAATCTGCGACTACAGACGGAGCCGATCTATCAAGACGGTTGCAGGAGTTTTGGCAGCCAATTCGTGTAAATGAAAACTTGGGATAGTGTGCAAGTCTGGCTCAGTTACACCACACCACAGCAGTAACCATGGATGAACCCCGCCGGATATGATCCTCTTCTTGTGCCACTTCGTGATCCTTACTCTCCTGCTTTATGGCTTACGCTTTAAATACCTGTTAAAGTTCCACGGGACAATGGAGCTTTTTTTTTTCTTACTTTTTCAGTTTGACTGAAACAAGATGTTGAACAAGGTGGATACCATGTAGTTTTCAGAGCCATTCTATGTACCAGACGCATTACTGTTTAAGTCTCAGACACATTGTAAAAAAAAACAAAACAAAAAAAAGGAGATGTACAACGTTAGGCATATATTTTTCTTAAAAATATCAGTAACTTTGTATACAATCCACAAACCTGGTTCTACTTCATCCAACTTCACCTTCCTACCTCATTGTTACTCTGGTGTTTGTCCGTTAATGTAAACTATATGTGTGTATAATATAAAGGAAATTATAGGAAACGGTAAAACTGACAGCTCTCAACATGTACAGCATATAAAGCACCTCAATACACAAAAATCATTCTTAAGCTAAATCAGTTTTCTTATCTGCTTAAAGATGCTGCTGTAAAGGGGATTACTGTGTGAGGGGGTTGTCTGAATATATGAATATATATCTTCGCTCTTTGCTATATTGTGCAGTTGATCAATTGCTGTGTTCTGTCTCTGTATTGCAATCTGAGATTTTTACTGGTTGACGGTGCTACCAGCATACGGTTTGAGAGAAAAAAAAAAACTGATCTACCGGACCTCAAATGGTGCTGTTTTTCTATGTTTTTAATCGTCATACAGCTCTGTGTTATTCAGGTGTGTTAACCGCCGCTATCCCCTCAACTAATCAAAACCCTGAAGCCAAAATGTTTTCCGCAAGGCCTGCTATTACAGATTTGAAAATATATGCTATCCATCCAAATATTGTAGATAATGATTATACTCTGTTTCAGAAGTACCTCAGAAGTTGGTGATTTTAAAGTGCGTGCATCTGCTTCTTTTAATGTGTTTTCAGAAATATGCATTCTTTTACTGCTTAGATCAGGTTTTCAAATCAGATGGTACATGGTTAAGGGAGCAGTGTGAACTTACGCAGAGCCATATTCCATTTGGGTTGACCTTGCTTTGTAGATCAGGGTCCATTTGTAGTCCAGGTTAATACCACACCCATATCAGCAGATATTAGGAATGTGTGAAATAAAAGGAATACGGGGCTTTCTTAAACTTGCTTACTCAGTTGAATCAGTTTATTTTCCTCTTGGTATTTTCTGTGTGTCTCTAAATGCTATCCTTCAGTTTTATATCTGGGTTTTGTTTTCGCAGGAAGTGCATTGCATCCTTTCATATCCTGTCCCCTAGCCCCTACGCTTCAGTATTTGTTTTCTGCACCTCTGTGTGAGACACGTTAGTAGGTGTTCTCTTTCTGTCTTCTTAAACCCAACTTTTGTCATACTGACGCCTCTCTACTGTGAGTAATGTGTGTTTAGACACAGCAGCTGGTTTTTGAGGAAGCACTTTTAAGCCATTTTTTGAACTGTTTTTGTAACAGTTAGCTGTGAGCTTTTCTCCGTCTGAATTGAGCCCAGAGAGTCGTGTTTGTAGATCCTATGCAGGTGTAGAAAAACTAACCTGGTAACACGTCACTGTTGGATGGAGGGAGAACCTCAGAGATATATAGCAGGAGATAACTGTGTCTGCTCAGCCTTGAGGTTTAGTTAAACAGGACAATGGCGATATGACAAATCTGTACTTAACTATTATTATGTTTTAAGCTCTTTGAATTAAACTGAGCTAAAACAGGGCTGCTTGGTAGAAATGAATGCATTGCAGTTATAGTTGGGGAAAGACAGGGTTTCTACTTCATGGATTTTTTATTTTTTTTTGGTATAATGTGAAAAGATCTCAAGACTATTGCAGTAAACACTTCCTTTATCCTTCTGTAGCCTCCCAGTGGCAAACCACATTTACAGAAAACCTTAGAAGTATAAACGATAGAGTGTACATGTCGTCGCTAAACCAGCCACACCTCTGCTATGCGAGCAAACTCTTTGACGCTTAGCATCCTGTTCTGTGTTTTTTCTCTTGCTGCATTCAGGAACACCTGTTTAAATGTATAGATAAACAGAAATAAAACAAAACGTTTATTCTATCAGCACAAACCTGTCTTGTTTTTGTGTGTTGTTTCCTGCTGCAGAGATAAAGCTTCTTATGCTCAAAGGGTTTTAGCTTCCAGCTGTTGGTGTAACTTTGTTTCCCAGACAAATACAGGTTTTTTCCCTTGTTCTGGCTTTGTCCTGCTCCTAACAGAATAGAAGCAGTAGATCCCAGGACAAGTGCATACACACAAGACATCCAACTCTTCATAATGACATTTTATCCTGAGATTAGTTTAAAACACATTTTTTATAAAAAGTAAAAGCCAAGCATTGACTACCAAGCTAAAGTGTTTAGTCCTTGACCTTTTGCACATTTTTGCATCGCTCCAGTGTATTATATTGCAATGCGATGCAACACTGTGTTGTAGATAGTTTACAAGTGGGAGGATAGGAATACTTGGATTTATCAATAAAGATTACAGGAGGCATTTGTGTTTAGTCACTTGATACCCTCTGGTATCCCAGAATAAAATTTGGTACAAAGAATATTCTTTAGAAGCAATTTAATTGTTAATAAGAATCCATCTGTATGCAAATGTTTTACTTTAAGACCAAAATATGAAAGTCTATGAAAGACTTGTGAGGATTGTTAGTGAAGAGTTCTCATTGCATATTTAATAGTTTCACATTTTAGATGTGAAATACCCTACAAAAACCCTTTGCAGGACTTGAGTTCCTATCTCCCTTAGCTTATATTTTTCCCTCACTTTACAAGTTTTTGTCTGATTACCTTAGATAAAGCATACACTTGCCGGGAAAATCCTCAAAACCACCTTCAATCTTACAATGGATCCATTATGTTTTATATTTTACAGATGATGAAAGGAAATACTGCTGTAATTTTTTTATGTCATTCTTTTTTTTTATTCTATAATTTCCTGATTCAGTGCTGCTCTAGCGTACACCCTTTCCCTCATGTTATGTTTGAGTGCCTGCGTTTGTGTGGGGGTGTCAGAATTTGTGTGTTTGTAGTTTATGAAGTTCAAAGAAAGATAAAAATCTTTGAGGATGCTGAGATTAGAATTGCTTTTAAAATAACTTTTTTGCTTAGTGCATTATATATTGTTGTTGCTTTACTCTTTATCATAATGTTTAATTCATTACTCAATGTTAAAAAAAAAAGAGGCTGCACTCTAATCTATTACAGGGATAATACATTTGGCTTAACTGTGTGGCAGTCAAATAATATCAGCAGTTACCCGTTCAAATTCTCAAGATGCTTCAAAGACGGTTCATTGTGACTTTTGCTCTGTTTCGCATTTTCATTAGTCTGGAGTCTTCAAAGAAAGCAGTAGCTTCATTTTCACAGATGGTATTTTCATCTCACTCTGTTTTAATCAGTTAAACCAGGTCAGCAACTTAAAGCAAAATCCTATTTCAGACCTTGAATGTGTTATTTTAACTTTGGAAAACATTTTAACTGGAGTCAAAGGGGTTTTCTTATTCTTTAAATTGTCTCTGTGTGCTGAATGGATTTCATAAAACCCCAGTGACCCCTCAGTTAATACAGATTCTCCATTTTGGGAACCCAGTAAACTTTTAATTTAAATGCTGAGCGTAAAAATTAGTTTTTCACATTGTCATGTGGGTGCCTGGATTAACTTTTCCAATTTGTCATTGAGAAGTCGGACATCATCAAAATGGGCTATTTTCTATACAGGGGAACAAAACCAGGGGAGCTATGTACGATAAGCTATCATTATCTTATAAGACCATCTTTTATAGATTTGTATCATTCAATAGGGTTCCTAAGTAGTCTGTAAAGTATTTTTGTGTATTTTCCATTAATTAAGATGGAAAATATATATTTTTAAAAATGCATCATTTGCCATTCATTTAAACATATATTCACCCATCATTAATCCATCACTCTATCCATCTAATGGTTTGTCCAGCAAACATCTATCAAGCTGTCTATTGATCATTCTATTTATCCATCTGGTTGTCCACTATAACTATTTATCCGTCCGTCCGTCCGTCCGTCCATCCATCCATCCATCCATCCATCCATCCATCCATCCATCCATCCTAAAATCACCTGACCAAGCTGGAGACTGTCTGCATTTAGTCCTCTCATACATGCATTTTGTGTAAAGTTGAGAGTGATACTGGCAGAGTTGCTCTTAACGCCTTCAGAGCATCCAGCCCTGCTCCTAACTTTGCTGTATCGGCTCTTTATTTGTCATGAGACTGACCGCCCTCTCTGCATCACAAAATGCAAAGATTGGGAGAGCTCTATCTCGCCTGTCACATGTCTAAACCAAGTTGCAGTATCAGCTGAGAAGCATGAGAGCAAGATAAGGTAGAAAACGAGTGTCGTCGAATCAGAATGGCTGCAACACGGCTGGTTTGTGGAGGCTTGAATTTAACCTGAGCCTCATCACTGAATCCCAGATTTGGACGAGTCCATATTGGAAACGGATGAAGACGAGGTCATTGAAGGCTACTTCCTCCCTCCTTGCTTATAAAGACCCCGAGCTTAACTTAATTCTCCCACCCTCCTCCAGTCCCAGTTCACTTCTTGCACACCGATACATTTCCATACATTATTGCTTCTGTAAGCAAGAGTGTTGTGAGCCCAGGCTTTTCTTACAGTCCAAGGAGAATTTTCAATGTCATTATCGCCAAAGGCTGCCCCATGTCTGTAATGTATTACCACCCGCCTTTATTGACAGCACGATGATTCAGTGGTGGCAATGATGGATTAATGCTGGATGGGTCAGGCTGGGCTGGGCTGAGTTGGACCAGACTGGGATGGGCTCTGCAGCCACTGCAGCTTGCCTTTCTGTCGCATAAACACCATCTACACTGCAGTACTCAGTTAGATGAGTTGTATTTATGTCAAACTCCCAAATATTTTACCCAAGGTTCATAGAGCACTGAATCAACTAGCCCATTATTTGTATCTCATGGAGTGTAAGAATCTTAGTCAAAGCGTTGTATTTATTTGAGAAAAAGAAATTATATCAGGATAATGAGTGTTGCCTCACAGAAGGAGAATTACAAAAGAAATGTTCTTGACATATGATTAGTTTAGCAAGTTTTAGTATCGGCAAGATTATGCAAATACACAACTTAGACTGAAGACCCTTACTAGCTTTTACTATGAAATATAAAAATAACTCCTCAGGACTCAGCCACCTAGCTGAACTACCTTTTAATTTATAGCTAGCAATTAAAAATCAAAACACATTCATCTAACTCTGCAAGCCTTTGCTAAACTTTACCCTAACAGAACGCTGTTCATTACAACTGGGGTTTTCCTCTGTTAACATTTCAAGCAGATAAATTACACTAGTCTTAATTTTGCTGATGTTCTGGTGTCCTGAGAACCCAAAACTCACTGAACCAGGAAACAATCCCTTAAAAAACACTGGAGATATTTAAAAGGGAATCTCCTCACCTGTGTGGTTGGTCCATCAGTGGCCCTCCTGGAGTGATACAACTTATTCAGATCTGGGCAGAAACACCATTTGTTAAAGGTTGGCTCTGTGTGTGATTACACCTTGAAGCTTTCTCTCGCCGTTTTTATTTTTTTTCCTGAAAAGAGATCAATTGGGGCAACCTCTTAAAATAACGCTTCATAATGTTTATGTATTAAATAACCATGAGACATGACAACAGATTTTGATATAAACTAGAATCTTACTCAGAGAAGATAAATTGCTTAGAGCTATAGAAGGCAGTGCATACCAGCCGGGCTCACTTCACCGGAAGTTAAAGAAGCATTTTATACAACTCCCATCTGCCACATCATCACATTTTACTGCATACACGTTTGCAGAGTAGGAGACATCCATGGCTCCAGCCTTATCAAAATATTACACTTTGTTCTTAGCTGAAGGACACCGCTCTCATTCCATTCCCAAATCTTTGCCACGTACAAAACGAAGTTTATAACTGTACATAGTCGGATCGAGGAACTGGCCTGAATAGATAAACTACTGGGAAAAACACCAGTTTGGACACGCAACAGGTAGCTAATATTAAGGTGTAATAAACTCACACATCATTATGATATCATCATGATAATTATCCTAACATTGACCATCTAAATTGCTGCTCTTTATCTTCCTGGCCTTAACAGGAAATGTAAATATACCACACATCTTTTGGAGAATCTGTTGAATTTAGCATGAGTGTTCAAGTTACCTGCAAAACCTATAAATGATTTCACACATTCGAACATTCACTGAAGGAACCTTCCGTACCCGACCCAGTGCAAAACTCTAATCTGCACACAGACCATCTAGTAGCTAAAACATTACCAGCTTGAAATCATAACTATGACTGTGTTTCTAGAGGTTTGACGAGATCTTCCGTCTGACAGCTAAATGTTCTGGGTGAAATCGGCTTGGGTGTGATGTGATCTGCTGTCGTGCTGCTGGAGAGAACACTCTGTACATCCAACACTGCTCCATCCCCCACTTTTTGAAATAAATCATAATGTGACAACTTTAAAATCTTGCCATTTGAAACATCCTTTTTATATTCATGTATATGATGTTGAGTTTGTACTGTTTTTTTGGCCCATTTAAGCAGGCAGGTTGATAGCATAAAAAGAGTTATGACATGGAAGAAAGACTATATCCAACAGGATCAAAGAATTTTTGTATTTTAAAAACAGGAAATTCAAAATATTGTCACGGACAGAAAAGAGGCATCTCTTTTAATTCACTTCAGGTCACTCTACTCCTCGTTTTTGATGTGTTTCCCTGATCTCACAAGATTTATTTAAATTAAAAAGTCATTAAAATGCAAGTTTTTATGGCAAGCTGTAGAACTAAAGCATTTAAAGCAGGAATTAGAGAAGAAAAAAACATCTCTTTTGGGGGAACCCTCCTGATTAAATTGAGTCTTGGACTTTATAGCAATTCCTGTAAAGCACTGAGTAGATTAAAGTCTTGCCAGTAGTTTTAACATTTATAGGATGAAAAAAAACAAATATCCACAATGTTTATGGTAGTAATAGCAATAGAGAAGAACAAGAAAAATTAATAG